CGATCCACGCTGTGTCCCTCCGATACACGCCTCTCCGCGGCCACGCCCACCCCAGGGCTCACACGTCACCCCGATGCTCGCGTCCCTCCACCACACCACAAGCGTCCACCCACCTCGGAAGCCCCCGTCGTCCCCGCCAGGGCACAGTCTCTCCCGGGGTACGCGTCTCCGCAGCGCACACTAGTTAGCACCGTCCCGTGTGGGGGTCTCCCCGCCCAGCCCCACTTCTCCCTGGGACACATCACCTCCCCGTGCCCCCTTGGGCACACTGTCCTACGGGTCGCGGCTCTCCTCCACTCACGGGACAGGCTCCCGGGGTAACCTGGTCGCCAGAGGTTTGACCCACGCTCTGTTTTCGGCAACGCGTGGCCTTGACGCGCAGGAAGCTGGCCTTCGTGTTTCCTTCCAGCGAGTCCTCTCCACTGCCACTTCCCACAGTCCCCTCCTGCTCCCCCTGCTTCTCAAAGGTGTTTTATGGGACAAAGCCAGGAGGTGAGGAGGGTTCAAGGTGGGACAAAACTAGTCAACTAGTAAGATTGCAGTATAGTCGCTTAGGTAATACTGTTTAAGTGGGGATCCCATGGGGGAGCTACCCAAGTAGCGAGTGTACAGGGATGAGCAAGGATTTTTGGTAAGGGGTGGGTCAGGGATCTTCCCTGGAAGATCTTGGACCTCACCCAGGTGATCGATACCTATTAGAATATTAATCACTGCTACTTATCCTATGCGGGTGTGGTAATTTCTCTCCTACAATGCTGGCCTTCAGTGAATATCTTGATTGTCCTCCATGTTAGCTTCTCAACGGTCCTCAGTGTTGGTTCAAAGGCTGGTCCTGTCTAACTGCCTACAAGATATCTAGTTAACTTGCCGAACTACAATACTGCTGCCTGTTAATGTGGATCCACAGGCCCTTTACCTAGGTCTGAGGGTTCTTACACACCTTTCTTCTCTCAAAAGCTGGGCCCCTGCCAACTACTGTCTCTTGCCTCAGCCTAGAACTGGAGAGTTGAATATTGTTTTTTTCCCCCCTCTCTACTTTCCCAACATTCAGGCATAGAGGTCTCAGATGTACTGTAGAGAAAAAGGAAAATACATACAACTTTACTAATAACGAGGGAAATGCAGGTTCCAACTAAAACGTGGGGAATGGATTAAGAAACACCTAGTGGGGGCCAGGGGTGGAGCTCAGTGGTGCTGCATCTGCCCAGCAAGCACAAGATCCTTAGCTCAATTCCCAGTACCACACACAAAGACAAAAACAAACACCTAGCAGATTAGGGGAGCACAGTTCTGGGTGTGACTGTGGGCGACTGACTTGTAGGCCAGCACACTGACGGGAGAAGATGCCCCAGTGTCGGTGGCATCAACAACAGGTATGTAGCCTGCATGGAATAAAAAGAGAAAGAAGGAAAAAGTGAAGTGCTCCAGTTTCTGAGTGGCCACAGCCTTTGCTGCTGTCACTTTTGCCCATTGAACTCCAGGTCTCCAGTGTCTTCAGCTTTCTGGAGCAGGCTCGTACTGGTGAACCTGCATGAGAGCCAGTGCTGCATCCTTGACCCCCTTGTTCTGCAGCTTCCACCAGCTTGGGCTGAGCAGTGCCTGGCTCCTCTGTGTGGACAGCAACTGTGGATCCCCCCCTCTGGCCCTGTGAGCCTATCTAATAAATCCTCTTGTGTAAATTGTTAGGCATATTTTTAATATGAAAATTTATTATTAATATCCTCTCTCAAAATTTATGATCTTGGCCTTTCTTTCTCGCCTTTGTAGAGAGCCGAGAGTGAGGCATTGGCTACTTTAACAATCTTAGCGCAGAGTCCAGGACTGTCATCATCAGACCAAATCCGGCCACCAGAACGTCATTGTTTTCCTCCATAAAGTCCAAGCACCCATCACTAGGAACAAAAGCTGCTGTCCTTGATCAGGTGGACTCTGACACAGGTCCTGATGACAGAACTTGGCTATCTGGCTTCCACCCCTACTTTTCCCAGCATAATTCCCTTTGCATGTGAAGCACCTCGGAAAGAGCTGGCCTGCGGGGCTGGCTCCAAATGGGCCTTCTTGTACAGCTCTCCCTACTTCTGGTCCCATCCATGACTGCAGAGCTGCTGTGGGCCGTGGTCCCAAACAAAGGCTAGACGTATGTTTCCCGTTGGCTCTGTTCCTCCAGAGAGCCCTAACTCATACAGGCTGGCAGCCAGAGATTACAGAGAGCTGCTGGCAGCTGCCTCTCCAGCACCGTAAGAGCAGCGAGGAAGGCTGCTGACACAATTGCTGAGAGCCACTGGCATTCAGACCTCAGAGCTGCTAATGCCAAGGGAGTTACACTTTGTCTGTGATTTCTGTCTGAATTGAGCAAAAGAATCCTCGGTAGCTTGGTAACAGATCCCTCAGGAATAGGATCAATGGTTTTATTTTTTAAGAAAAGGTATGAGGACTCTGCCTCCTTCCATTGCTTTTCTATCCCTGCTAGGGACAGAGTTTTCCAGGCACCATCCTGGAATCAGGCGTTGCCCACACCAGATACCACCTCTACTACCGCTTTGCTCTTGGACTTTCCAGCCTACAGGACAAATCCCTTTTCCTTATAAATTACTGCCTCTGGTATCTTTTTGTTACAGTGGCCTAAGTGGACTCAGGAATTTCCACTGCCCTCCCTGGCCTGCTCCCTGAGCGGGGACACAGAGAAATTTCCACCCCAGGGTGACTGCGTCGCCCTTCCCACTCTCTCACCCTTCCCTGGTGAAAGACTTACTTTAGTTTTCCCAACTGAAGAAGCCTCGTTCATCCTTTTTGAATCTATGTTTGGTTTGATGAAGCTATTCTTCAGTACAGGAAACCCCAGTATCTCTGTCTCTTTGCAGAAAAAGATATTGTCAAGCCTATAACTTTTGTCCTAGATTCCCTATTTTGCCTAAGTAATTCCTCATCAAAGTTGTAAGCTCTCTATCTTAGAAATTTATCTCATGGCAGTAATTCCCACAGCAATTGAAGAAGGTATAATCATACATAATATATTCTGAATCTCAGCATCTAAAGAGAGGCCCTTGGACATCTGGGAACAAGGTGGCTCATGTTCCTATTTGGGAGGGACTTTGCCAGCTGTGAGAGCGGTGGAGTACAATGACAAATGACAAAGTTTTCTATAGGGATTAACTCGCATTTCGGTTATATTTCCTGGATACTCACCACCAATATGTCCCAGTATGCTTCTAAATATGTTCCATATTAGGGCTTGTTTTTATTTCACAGAGATGCCACTTTGACTTGCTGTTGCACTTCCCCTGTGCAGTGTAACTCACAACCTTGTCATATGGGTTTTCCAGGGCTGCCACTAATGCAGAAGTTTTAAAGCCTTCAGAATTCTCACAGGTCCTATTTTTGATCCCACTTACCCAGGAACAGGTGGATCCACAACCCCCCAATAAGTGATACTCTATAATCACGATGTAAGCCACCAGTGTATATATGTGTGTGTGTGTGTGTGTGTGTGTGTGTGTGTGTGTGTGTGTGTGTGTATGTATATAACCTGTTAGCTTTAGTGTTCACAATATGTATTCTGTTATGTCCTCTCTGTTAGCCTGGAAAATATATCCTGTTAGCCTCAACATTCACAATATGCATCCTGTTGTATTATGCTATGTGAATGTCTTGTTCCTAAGGAAAGCCCCAACCTCAAAACGCAAACGTTATTGACCACCACCCCAACTGAAACTACTGTATAAAGCTTCTCCATTCTTTATTTTGGAGCCCAAGTCTTTAATTAGCACCTGGGTCCACTGGGCCAGCCAGTAATAAAGCTTTCCTCCATCTCTTTCTCTCTCTGTCTTTTTTTTTTTTTTTTTTTTTTTTGGCTGGGGAATCAAACTCAGGACCTTGCGCTTGCAAGGCAGGTGGCAGCACTGCTGAGCTAAATCTTGACCTTCCTCCATCTCTTTTGAGTGGGTCTGTCTTTCCCAGTCCAGATTTCCTACAATGCCATGACACATAGCCAAAGACTGGCTGGTTTAAAATAACAGATGTCTGTCCACCTGAAGTGGCACATACTTGTAATCCCAGCTACATGGGAGGCTGAGGCAGGAGAATTCCAAGTTTAAGGCCAACCTGGGCAACTTATTGGACCTTGTCTCAAAATAAAAAGGTTGGGGAATATAGATCAGTGATAGAGCGCTTGCCTAGTACATGTGAGCCCTTGGGCTTAATCCCCCCTGCAAAAATAAAAGCAAACAAAAAAACTCAACAACAACAAAGCCCCAGATACCTATTCTGTCAGTTCTGGGAGCCTTGAATTCGCAATCATGTGTGAGTGGGCTGGGCTCCCTCCAGCAGTTCTTGGGGATACCCTTCCTGCCTCAACTTCCAGTGGCTCCCCATGTTGGAGGACCAAGGCCTGTGGGCAGCCAGGTGCCTGCTGCACACCAGGCCTCCAAAGGCTCTGGGTCAGGGGCTAGAGAGCTGTGTTCTGCTCCTAGGATGTGAGTGGAAGTCTTCAATCAAAAGTCAGAAAAGGAGCAGTGAGGAAATACTGCACTGTACCTGTTTGGCTTGGTCTCACAAGGGTCTGTCCTGCACAGCCCAGTGCCCTCCACACAGGCCTGAGGGGTGGGAAGAGCCTCTGCCAGGACCCTTTGCTCACCTCCTACGCCTCCCTGGAGGGAGTTGCCGCGCACGCGCAGTGGCCCTGGCCAGGCAGCACCAGCCTGAGTGTACCTGTGTCCCGCAGGGCAGAGCAGAGGATGCTGTGAAGACGCTGGGAAAATGTCCACATGGGCCATTGGCCCACCCTCTGTCCACACTCGCACCCCTGTGGACACGTGGTGGGGCATCCCCAGCCCTAGGCCATTTGCGGGCAGGGGTCGCCATGTTCCATGCCACTCAGTGAGTTTGCTGCTCGGTGCTGGGCCCTGCTGGGGCTCAAATCTGAGATGACCCCGAGTCTCACATTGAGAGGTGAATGGATCACGGGGCACTACATGCATCAGGGGACTCATCCACAGAGGAGCTCAGTAGCTGAATGTGCTTGGAGGAGACGGGGTCTGGTTGGAGGTCTGGCACTAAGCCTGTGTGTTCTTGTCCCTCCTCTGCCTCCCCCTGCTCTCTGCGCTTCCTGGGTGCCCTGGGTTGAACAGCTTTCCTCCCTCCCTGGGCCCCTCCATGCTGCCATTTCTGCCTTGGAGCCAGCTGACTGTGGTTCAAAGCCACAGCTTCCTTTAGCCTGTAGGTGTCAGGTATTTTGTCCCATACTCAGGAAAGTGACTGATATGGGCCCCTTTCATTGCTAAAACTTTGTAAGTCGTTAACAGGAATTGAGGATCTCTGAGCATTTTCTAACGTCACATTTTTTTACTCACTCCCTCTGTGTGGAAAGCCCCCGCTGAAGGCCAGCCACACCAAGAGGTGCCAGGCCATGGCACCAGGGGACACCCAGCCTGAAGCCTCTGCCAAGCCATCACGGCCTCAGGGGTGTGACTGGTGAAGGGACTTTGTTCTTGGTTGGGACAGCCAGAGGTAGTCTGTATCCCTGAGAACAGCAGGAGGGGTATAGGGCCTCTCTGGGGGGGGGGGCTCACAGACAGGCACAGGTGTGGTGCATTTTTTTCTTTTTTGGTACCAGGTATCGAACTCAGGACCTTGTGCTTGCGAGGCAGGCAGCAGAACCACTGAGCTAAATGCTCAGCCCTTGGTGCATTTCTTTTCTGGAAGAGCAATCTTCCCCAGCACATCAAAAACTAAGCCGGTGGTCATCTCGTGATTGAGCATGAACTGGCTGCCCACACCAGGCAGTGGAGTCAATGGACCCAGTGAAGAGAAGGCTATGGAAAGCTGGGTGCGCTGGTGCACACCTATAGTCCCCAGCACCCAGAGGCTGAGGCAGGAGGATTGCCGCAAGTTTGAGGCCAGCCTGGGCTGCATAGCAAGACCCTGTCTCAAAAAACAGAGGAAGAAAACAACAGACAAACAGATGAAAAGGCTACACAATACCTAGAGCTGGAAAAGGCCAGCTTGCACTGCTACCAAGAGGGACAGGTATGTGCTTTATTGTTGAGAAACAGTTCTTAAATAGTAGTGTTTTTACTTCATTCTTTACTGAAACAGCTTCCTCCTTGCCAAACTGTTGGAACTGTGTTGGCTATGTTCAGTATCACAAGAGATATCTTTGGCATTTACTTCCTGTAGCTTCATATCTTGTAGAACACATTGTACAAAAAAGATGTAGGTTTACAGAAAAATATGCATAGAAATCACTTATTGATCCCAAAATGTAGTAAACAACATAGCAAAAACGTATCAAATGCATTTTCTACCCTAACTGGACAGATCTGTTGTACTTCATCTCTGTCCCTCTGCAGCATTTTATAAATCGGTGATTTGACGTTAAAAAGGTTTACAAAATAGCCCCTCCTGTAAGAGCAACAATGCTGGATTACCTCACCATCACTGCTTCTCAAACTCCCTTGAATGTGTACTCCCTTGAATGTGTACATCTCGTCTCATAAAAACAGTAATTTTAAGGAAAAAGTTGCACTGCAAATAGTGACAAAAGTAGCATTCAAAATTTCATGTTATCGAGAGCTGAACAGGGCACTAACTTTCCCTGGAGAAACACAAGTCGAGAACAAGAGCTTCATGCACATCGTGTGGACAGGACAGTCACACCGAACAGGTGTCCGTGCTTCCCACTGGCCACACGCAGCCGAGGCAGCAGCGTGGCAGGAGGGGATGAGCATCCTGAGTCTGTCTGGCTCAGGCCCAGGTGCAGGGTGCTGGCTCCCCAGGAAAGGCACCATCTCACTGGCCATCTCCCTAGGAGACCTTGCAGCTGTTTCTAGCACAGTTTCCTGGGGGACTCTGTGGGGCACGGGTGGTCTTGGCCTTGCGCAAGCTCGTCCTCTTGTGCGGGGCGCTGGCCATGAGGGAGTAGGAGCGGCCATGCATCATCCTGGTGTTCAGGCCGTTGGCCATGGAGAAGGACTTGAGGTGGCTCCTCAAGGCCAGGGGCAGTGGGAGCTTGTCCACCAGGTGCACGGGTGTGCAGGACACCACGGCGCGGCAGCACAGGTCCTGCAAGCTCAGCACTTGGGAGGGAAGAGAAAACTGTGCTGAGCCTCTGCTGTGCCGGCCCACCCAGGGCTGGCCACAGGGGAACCCCGGGCAGGCCTCCCTTCCTCCCTCCTTCCCAGGACTCGAACTCTCAACCCATGTGCCTCTACCTCTGCCCGAGGTCGGCTGCAAAGACCCTTCTCCTGAGCATTCTCTCTGAGCCATAACAACTGTTCTCTCTTGAGAGTAGACACAGAAGCCTTGAGATGGGTCCTGGAGGCTGCAGGACAACTCCCGCCCCTGGGTGCCTCTGCTATCCCCAGGGCACCCGCCTACCCTTGCTGGGCCGCCAGAGCCGGTCCATGCCGTGCCGCAGCAGCACGATTCTGGCCAGCTCTGTGAAGGACTCTGTGACGTTGAAATTGCACAGCGGGCTGACCTCGAAGAAGGTCACACCCAGCCGCTCAGCATAGGCACGGGCCTGCTCGGTGGGCACCTGCCGCTTGAATGCCAGGTGCAGGCGGTTCCCCACCAGGATCCGGGGCACACCAGGTGCGTGCTGTGGGAAGTCAGGAAGGTGGGTTACCTGGGTGAGGCTGTTGCCGAACAGTGTACCCCCCAGATCCGTGGCCACCCCAAACCTCAGAAGAGGGCCTCATTCACAAAGGGCATCTCTGCAGATGTAATCAGAGACGAAGCCGTACTGAACCGAGCACCGGCTGGGGCACTCTAATGACTGGTGTCCTTGCAAGGGCACAACACAGAGGACAGGGTGGAGCCGAGTGACAGAGGAGGGGCTTGGAGTAGTGTATTCGCAAGCCAAGGGATGCTCAGGACTGCAGCAGCCTCCAGAAGCTGGGAGAAGATCTTCCCCTGCAACTCTCGGAGGGAACACAGCCCTGCTGGCACTGGGTTTGGGGTTTCTGCCCTCCAGAACCTTGTTTGTGGATGTTTGTCACAAAGCCACAGTAGACCTCACCCTGACCACTCGGAGCCCACACAGTCCTCTGCCTGTCAGCCCACCAACCGCTGCAGGAAGCCAAGCAGCCACTGCTGGTTCTGGTCCGAGCTGCTGGGCCCCGTGCACCCCGTCCGGAGTGGATTCCTGGGCCAGAGGGCTCTCTGGGCGTGCAGCTTCGAGCGCTGCACATCGCTGGGCTGAAGCGCTGGCCTCGGCCCACATGCCCACTGCCAGGTCCCCGGACAACGTGCTCCCAAGCCCAAGGCAACCAGGCCCGAGTCCCCATACTGTACCTCATCGATCTCCTTAATCCATCGGTTGATGCCATCGAAGGACCAGCGGTTTGCAATGTCGTAGACCAGGATCACACCCTGGGGGAGAAGGCCCAGACTCAGCATTGGGGGCACGCAGGCAGGCGCCGCCCTGGTCACGGGGGTGGGGTGGGGGGTGACATGCTGAAGGCTACTTTACTTACTCTCACACAGTGTGTAATTCTGATCTATCTACCCAGTGTAGGAGTTGCATCGTCGTTCTCAGTGACGTTTCATACATTCACTGATCGTCCTGAAATGTCATGGGGAGTTGGGGACCCACACCCGTGGACGCGGAATATGGGGAACTGCAGGGGCACGAGGAGGGAGCCCCCTGTCTGGGTGGGCACAGGCACACACATGCTCAGACACACGCACACGTCACCAATTTGCACATGAGCCCATCTGCCTCAGCCTCCGGTCACCCATCGGAGAGCACAGGAGGTCAGGTGCTGACGCACATCATCAGTCACGCGCAGTTCACCCTTCAGGCTCGGGGACCTGAGTTACCTGTGCGCCCCTGGAGTAGGAGCGGAATATGGTACAGAATCTTCCCTGCCCTGAGGTGTCCCTGGAAAAGACCAGTAAGAGAGATCAGTGCTCCTTCCTGGCAGCCAGGTCCACAAACCCAGGAGCCACAGCAAGCGCCTTTCACAGTGGTTGTTGGTGGCTGATATGTGGCCAGCCCAGGATCCCAGCAAAACCATCTACTATCTTGGAGCTACTGGATGCTGGGATGTCCTGCTGGGCTCATTCTTTTTCTTTGAGACATGGTCTTGCTGTGTAGTCCAGAGTGGTCTTGAACTCACTATGTAGTCCGGGCCAGCCTCAAACTTGCAGCAATCCTTCTGCCTCAGCCTCCCAAGCACTGGGATTATAAACATATGCTACCATGCCCAGCTTTATTGTGTTCTGTAACTCATTTTAAAAGTCAGACTAGAAAAAATAGTGATGGGTTTTAACATGATTCTCAAACACACAAATAAATCTAAGGTAGGTTTTGAAAATTTGGTTTAACTGGAGATAAAGTTGTGCAGCAAGAAGTGTGAGTCTACACTGGGCAAAAAAATAGGCCAAAGACGGGGCATGACCCCGGGCTTCCAGTTACATTGTGAGCAGCACCTGTAAAAACCGCCCTGAGCATCTCCAAGATGATGAGTACAGGACCTGTCCAGGCACCAGCCCTGCAGGGTACACACACAGCTGGGTGCCGGTGCCCAATGAGACCAGAGCACACTCCAGGAAAGTGCAGGGGTCACGGCATGGGGGAGGGACACACCTAATACAGTGACCCTGGCACCCCTGCACAGGGAACCCTTCAGAAGGTGTCTTTTAAGGCCTTCATTGTGTACTTGGGCACAGCCAATCAAGACACTATCCTGATGCTTCACTTACACCAAGGTTTCTGACAGGACACTTCCTGTAGCTGTGACACCTAGTGAGTGTTTGATAGGACAGCTTCCCTGATGACTTATTTACATAAAAGAGAGCTAGCCCAGGAATTTGAGATATACAAGCTCTATTCCTCTTATCCTCAGGGCTGTAAGCCTTCTCCCCTGCCTGCACTTACTCTGCAGAGCACACTTCTTATCTGTCTTCTATAAACATACACTTTTGCTGTCTTTTCTGTCTTTATCCAATTCGGTTTAGGAAGCTAAGATCCCGCCATCTGATAACATCTGGGGCAGCGGGCACTGTCTCCTCAAGTCTCCTCTAAAAGGCAGTGTCAACTCACATCTGCATGTGCAGGTAACAGCAGCACATTCTTAGGGACGAGGACCCTGGCACCGCGGGCTGCCACACAAACAGGGTGTGTCCATGGTGAGCAACAAGCGAGGTAGTTTTGCTGTTTTTGTTACCTGTCACCTGTGGTTGGAGGCCACCTCTGACACCGCAGAGGAGGGCCTGACACAGGGGTCACAGGCACTGCCCATTGCCAAAGTCAAGGAAATGAGGGCCTCATTTTCCCGAGAAGCAGATCAATCAATACTTCAAGGACCAGCCACAGTAGAACCTGGGAGTTCGGCTCTGCCCCTGTGCAAGCTGCTGGAAGTCTGTGCCCAAGGGGACAGCAGGATAAAGGAAGTGGGAGTGGATGCCAGAGAGCACCAGAGCAAGTGCCTGCGCCCCACTCCAGCCCTGCTGTGCATGACAGCTGTGAGCAGAGCCCAGCCCCTTCCATGGGTGCCGGGTTCCAGTAGGATGACCAGGCCAGCAGAGGCCAGGTCTTAGTCAGGGGTGGGGGAGACGGACAAACCAGGGGGTGCTGAGTAGGAGTACGGATGTGGCCCACAGCTGGCACCATACAGGAGTGGCCTTGAGGTCACACAGGGGATTAGGGTGGTTCTGAGAAAGGTGGAGGCCTCTGAGGACTCTGGGAGACTTGGAGACCAGATTTGGCTTCCTGAGAGAAGTCCCCAGAAGGTGGGGACAGTGGGGACTACAGAAGAGGAAGGCACAGGTGATCAGGGTGGTGAGGAGTGTCTGTGCCAGGTCTGTCAAAGGCTCCATGGGAGGCAGAAAAAGATAAGTGTTCCAAACAATTCTGAGGACAGGGAGGTACTTACTAGCACAGAACAGGAATAGGCAGGACAGACACAAGCTTCTCTGTGAGCTGAGTGGACATTCAGGTCTTCTGGGGCACTATAGACAGTCTCTGGGGCCAGGGCCACTGTAGGCTGGAAGTGTGGCTCTTGGACAGCACCCACCAGAGCCTGGGCCTCCTCAGGGATCGAGGAGAAGGTCCTATCCAGCACCCAGGAAGAGGAGTGCCCAGCACCTCACTCTCCCACTCTGTCCACCCAGCCACAGCAGGCAGGAATCCCAGAGCCAACGGCAATAGACTTGGGGCTCTGCAGCCCAGCTGCTTCAGCCAGAAAACACCAGTGCCCTCCAGCACCAGGGCAGCAGGGGGTAGACACCCATGTACTCACCTCCATCTCCCTCACCCTGGAGTAGGGTTAGGGTTAGGGTTAGAGTAACTTTTTGGACAACAAGGTCCCACTGCTGCGACTGTAGATGGGCCCACAGCCCTGATAACCAAGGCACTGCCATCCTCGGGGAAGCCAAGGCGCAGGCTGGGGCAACGGTGGGGTCCCCGCGGGGGGGCTAGCACCTCTGGGACAGGGGTCCTGACTCACCACAGCTGCAGCTTCACCCGCCGCCCGTCTAGCAGGATGGTGGTGGTCTTGTGGTCGATCCCTGGGAAAGGGGTGGGCACTTCTTAGGCGTGAGCCGCAGTGAGGGACTCCCCACAGTTACCTTCTGTAAGAGCTCACTGGATCCATTGCTCTCTCTCATCGGTGGGAAGGTTTCTCGAGGTTCACAAGGCAGCTGGGCGAGACCTTGTCTGTTCATCTCTTGACTCGCCCCCTCCACCAGCTGTCCCCTGCCCTCTGTGCAGATCCAGGTATTACTGGCCACCACCAGCCAGTACCCAGGCCTCCCCACCTGGGCCCTGCGGGTTGGACTGCCCTGGCCACTGGCACGGAATGGGCACACAGCCAAGAGGGCCAGGGTCACCTGCAGGGCGATGCAGACCCTCTGCCCCTGTGAACCGCTCTGAGTCCACATAGATGCCCTGCTTGACTGGGTCGCTGGCAGGTTTGCTGCGAGTCTGTGAAGGGCTGGGTCCTATAGCTCTCGGGCTCCTTCCCACCTACTGCCGCCCATACTGCCTCGATGATTTGACTTAGCTCTTTCCAAGGGAACAGGGCTAAAAGAGCAGGTCCGGCAGCACAGACTGTGTCCCCAAGTGTTGTCCTAGGAAGACGTCAAAACAGGCAGGAATGAGACCTTGGCTCTGTGCCACCCAAGTTCTCACCTTCCATTTCTTTCTGTCTCTGTCTCTCCCTCTGTCTCCGTCCTAGCCTGACGGAGCACTCTCAGCTCCCTACACTGACCTCACCACTGTGGTGGCCGCACGGCCGCACTGTCCTCCGTTTCTCTCAGATCAAACGGTATTGGTGTGGCTTGCACAGGGATAGGTGAGCACACAGGAGAAAAATCTCTCACAGGAGCAGAAACCCTCCTCTGTGCCCTCAAAGGGAAGATCTGCCGCCCCAGTACGTGGCCTAAGCCTGCTAAACCACCAAGGGCCCAACACTGTGCTTCAGACTGACTGAGTTCTCAGAATGACAGTCAAATGCCAGGGCCCTGCGGCAGCAGTCAGCACGAAACGCACACAGGAAATGAACAGGGCACAGATCTGCTCACTTTGCCTCCACAAAGCCAATTTTGGCAATATTCCTCTTTCCTTGGAAAACTAAAGGTTTTCACTCTCTCCCTGGGGCAATGAATAAACGTGCTTGGGATCAGTGGTACCTTGGTTCACGAACTCAGTTCTCTCCGTGATTCTGGTTGAAAACTTGACGAGAACTGAATGAACCAAATTTCTCCCATAAGGTCAACACTGAACCTGCCCACTGAATTTGACTCAGTTCTCATCCAATTCTGTTTGCAACCAGAATCGTGGAGACAGCGGAGTTCTGGAACTGAGGCTGCACTGTATTCGAAGCTGGAGATTGGCCTTGGTCTGTCTGCACTCAGCCAGATTCCCACTCGCTGGAGAACACATCCCTCCAGAGACCCACCCTGCCAGAGCCAGACCAGCTCCTCTGCTCTACAAGTCACATACTTGCAGGATGACCTTCTGCTCAGCAAGGGCCAGCGTACACAACAGAGACCCCGTCAGATCCTGTTGCCAGCCCTGCCACGCCCCACACAACGAGGACATCTGCTCACGACACAGTTCTCAGAACATGTCCCCATCATGACGCCACCAAACAGTACGAGTTTTATAAAAGAAATAGTTGTGTGTGATCTATGTACCTGGTGAGTTTTAAAACTTGTGCTTGGTGGTTTGGGGATTTAGCTCCATGGCACCCCACCTGCCTTGCAGGCACAAGATCCTGAGTTCAATCCCAGGTACCAGAAAAAAAAAAACTGCATTTGGTTTTCATTTTCATAATAAGTATGGGGGCGGGCTGGGGCACCTGTTCCATCTCACTCTCTGGGATTCAACGCAGAACACAGCACACCATGGCCCATCCCTCCCCAGCGCTCCTTTCCTCAGTGTGATGTCTAAAATCATTTATTTTGTTATGTATCTCCAAATTTGTAAACAGCATCTTATATTCCTAATTCCTGACTTTTCAGCATTGGGCATGAATTGACCTCCCACTATGGAGGTAAAAGTGTAATAATATCTTTCACTGACATAACCACACCTCCAACTCTAATTTTCTCTTTATCTCTTGTAGCTATGTTGCTATTTTAGTTAATTCAGTTTTACATTGTTATGAATAAACATTTCTACAGCTGTACAATATTCTACGTTATGCTTTTTTTTAATTTTATGTACAACCTGTTTGAGTGTGTGTGTGTGTGTGTGTGTGTGTGTGTGTGCACGCGCGCGCGCAATACTGGGACTGCACCCAGGGCCTTCACACTGAGCTACAGTCCCGGCCCTTTTTATTTTTATTTTTCTACCATGAGGGTCTTACTAAATCACCCACACTGCACTTGCTGCTCTTGCCTCAGCCACCCACTCCTCCCCGTGCTGGCATAACAGGTGTGCACCATCATATTCAGCTACAAGCTTTTGTTTTAACTAGAGTTAACAATTACCTCTGTGTTTACTGGCTTAGTTTTCTCCCATTCATCACTAAGTCTCCCATTTATCCCTGGGTTATCCAGATCTCTCAGAAACCATCTTAGCCCTGCCATCTAGAATGGAGCTCAGTTGCTGTGGGCATCCACCGTCCCCTCTCTTGGTCTCCTTTCCCTTCTAAGAAGGGTGCATGGAAGATAGTTCTGGAAACGTTGCAGGTCTGAAAGTGTCTTTAGTTTGTTCTTGCTCTTCATTATGTTCAGATGGGTACCCAACTGCAGCAGGAAATGATTCTTCAGAAATGTGTGGCCTCGCCCTGAGCTCCTGCTGTGTCAGGATCCACTTGGTTCTTGATCCTTTGAATGCAGTCTGTTTTACTCCCGGCCAGCACAGGTCTTCTCTCTGCTCCTGGCTCCTGCCAGGCCCTGACACCAGGACAGAGGCACCTGCAGGTTTCAGGGCCTGCTCTAACCCTAATGCCTCAGCAATGGCCCACAGGGTCTGGACCCAGGGAGCAGGGAGCAGCCACAAGTTCATTTTTCTAAAAGCCCAGTTGTCCCACAGATAACCCTCCAACATGGCTATATCTGTCATAGAGGTGCTCCCAGGCCACCGCCTTGTACAGCTATTCAAATTTAACCTCTACAAAGTCAACTTTTATGAGCTTACTTACTGAACCATTTTGTTTTATTCTGTATAGTGTTTTCTTGACGTTGTCTTCCCATTTACTTGACTGTATTTCTTCTCTGGTTGCCTTACATTTGGATTCATGGAAAGCTGACATTTTTTACATTAGTGATATCAGTGTTAGGATCAGAAGGCAGGACTGAAGCCCACTGTATCTAACTACCAAGAACTCCATCCGTCAAAATATGACAAAAATGTAGCTGGGCATGGTTGCATAGTCCTGTAACCTTAGCACCCTTAGAGGCTGAGGCGGGAAGATCACAAAATGGAGCTCAGCCTGGGTAACTCAGCCACTTTGTACACTTTGTTTGTTTTTTGGTACCGGGACCTTTTGCTTGCAAGGCAGGCGGTGGAACCACTGAGCTAAATCCCTGGCCCTCAGCCACTTTGAAAGGCTCAGTCTCAAAATAAAAAAATTAAATAGAGCTTGGTATGTAGTTCTGTGCAAAGGCTCTGGGTTCAATCCCCACTATCACACACACACACACACACACACACACACACACACACACACACTTGCACGTGATAAAAATTCAGGGAAGCTTTTAGAACAAAGCCTGTAGGACTGTTCATGAGTGAGTCAGAACAACAGGGACAGAAAAAGATTTAAATTTAACCTTCTAAAAAGAAAAGAAAAATCAAATGCCAAGCCATTCTCTACACTTTTAAGTCCTGGAGATGAACAAATAATTTAGTAATCTATTTTGACTCCTCCACCATCTGCTTAATTCTTTTTCCACGCCTGAGCAGACGTGACCATGCCCTTCACAGGAGATGATCGCTTTACGGTACAAATATTAATTACTTTTAATTTGCAACACGCTCATCTTTAAGTCCCTGGCTTTTGAGAAAGGTCTCAAAAGGCTGGGGATTTAGCTCAGTGGTGCTGCCTCCCACTTTAGAAATGCAAGGTCCAGAGTTCAATCCCTGGTACCAAGGAAAAAGAGAGAGAGAGAGAGAGAATTCTAAGGTGCTGGACCTTAGAAATGCAAGGTCCAGAGTTCAATCCCTGGTACCAAGGAAAAAGAGAGAGAGAGAGAGAGAGAGAGAGAGGAGCTGGACTAGTGGTTGTGGAGGCAGAGGACAGCAGCCGATGGTGGCGCAGTCTGTTTGGGGCTAAGGATGATGTTCTGAAAATAGACGGCCATGATGGTTGCACAGTACTGTGCGTGTCCTAAATTCAGCGAGGGCGGCCGGACACGGTGTACCACAGTGCGTGGTTTTCTCGATACCAGAAAGTACCCATGGAGGCTCTAGCTTGCTCCTGCCAGTTCCTGAGGTTCACCGTCCACTCAGTCCTCTACCACCGCCCACCTGGGATGCGTCACTCACTTCTGCAGAGCTGGGGAGGGAAGCCGAGCTCTATTTTCAGCAGCATCCCATTCTAAATATACAGAACGCCCACGGTGTTGTGTACCTCAGACACAGCCTGGCCTTGCATCTCCGGAGCATCAGGGGCCAGGATGGAACGTGAAGAAGGATGGGCCTCACAGTGACCCAGCTCACAGGAAGAGGAGGGGCTCTGGAGGACAGCACAGGATAAGCTCCCTGGACTTTGGGAGTAGCTTCAACAGGGAGCTACATTTTCCATGAATGATGCCAGGACATCAGGACGCTGAACTGCGGAGAGGGCCAGACCTGGGGTGAGGAAAGGCAGGAGGCTGACCCCTGTCTTGCTCAGACAGGCCTGGCACAGCTGAGGGGCATGGCCTGCTGAGCACTAAACCCTAGGAACATTGGTGACCTATCTCCTGAAGGCCCTGCTTCCCCTGGTCCCCACACCAGGGCCTGGATCTCTCCCAGGGTCCATCCTCCACACAGGGACGCATCCTTAGGCAAAGCACAATGACCCCTCTGGGCCCAGCCACACCCGGCACCTGAGTTTCCTTGTTTAAATACACTT